GCGACCAATCGCACAACGACAACTCATTACGGACGACAGTTTACAGGAAACCGACACACACCGACAGATTACTAGACGAGTCATCCTACAACCCTACATCACACAAAGCCACAACTATCAGAACTCTAACACGACGCGCACAACTAGTATGCGACTCGACAGACAGCTTATCCGACGAGAACAAATACCTTCACCGTGTTTTTACGAAGAACAACTACAACAACGACTTCATCCGACGAAACACTCACCGACCCACTACCACTACCGAAACAAACGACACCGCAACCCCTACGACTACAGCAACCATACCGTACATAAAAGGCATGTCTGAAAACATCTCGCGCATCTTACTACCCTTCAATATCCGCGTCGCCCACAAACCCATCACCACACTACGTCAGTTACTAACCAACGTTAAAGACAAAGACGAACCGAGGAACAGACAGGGAACGATTTATAAGATCAATTGTTCCGACTGCCAAGCCTCCTACATCGGTGAGACTGGCAGAAACCTCACAACAAGACTGACTGAACACAGACGGGCGACGAGGAAAGGTGATGTCAGCAATCACATTGCTGAACACCATCGACTTACCAACCACAACATTGACTGGGACTCTGCGCAATGCCTAACCTACAGCACTGACTATTTTCAACGACTGACTCTGGAAAGCTGGTTTACTAACTTAGAACAGACTCCCCTAAACAGATGTCAACAACTACCCGCCCCATACAAACGACTCATTCACGACATAAACATCACAAACGACCGAAAAAGAACAACCTAGCTTTACCGACAGACCGAAACAGACCAATCACGAACGACTTACGTCACTTGAGTCTTACAGCCAATAACATCACGGCAAAACCAACCGATCATTTCACACGAACTGGAATAAGAACATTCTACTGACAACAATCACTCACTTGACTCTGATGATGACTTCCGCACAGGTTGTCGAAACGTCAGTCACTGCCACCGACAACAGTCCTTCTCAGGACTACACTCACCCGGACGATCAGACTACACCTTCACATGTTACCCCCGGGTTCAAACCATTTACTGCATATCACCCTGTGTTACTGTGCTGTACTACCTACTGTCTAATCAAAGGAAACCCAATATATGCACATGGGATACAAATAATACAGCTGAAAAGAAAATTACGAATGAACAATTGAAAGGTCTTGGCTGTGTTTTATCTTGTTTTTCATATTGCAAAATACAGTAGTTTCTTTATGTTATATAAATTGTCGTGAAGTAGCAAATAAACAAACCCTGATTTTGCTGGACAACTTCCTCTTTCCTGACAGCCTCGGAGGTGTTATCAACGAGTTTCGGGGTGAATAGTAGTTGGGTACAGGAGCCTTTGGAACAGTGAGGTGTCTGTCCATTAACTGGTTAGCTACTGAAAGTGATGGCAAAGAACACGGCTCTCCTAGACCGCCTGAGTGTGTCAGTAAATCCAACTCATGATCTGGCTTCACAACAACTTCCATTTCCTCGTCCAGTGGCAACTTTTCACCTAGCTGCAATTTCTCGGGTTCAATGTTGTCAAGGTTTGGCATAGGAATGGTTTCTGTATCCGTTACATCCAGGACAGGGTCAAAATGACGTAGTGCACTTATATCATCCAGATGAGGAACCAAAAGAAGGTCACTATCCATGTTACAAGGGCTCATGCGGCCTGCTGCTATTGTAAGCGTACGCTTGTCTTCTTCTGGTGGGCAGTCAAGGTTGTTTATGTCCATATGGTTATGCTGTGTGGTAAATGTTAGGTCTAGTCCATGATTCTTATCCTGAGACAAAATGAACAGAGCAATTTAGTTCAGATTACAAGGCCAGGGGCCCGTTTCTCGAAAGTCCTGGTAACTTAATGGGCCCATAAAGCTGTTCTGTTTTCATTCAAGATGTGGATTTCAAAATTTTTGAAAATGATACAACAAAACTATTAGCTAAAGAAACAAAAAGGACTGGTTTGGGTGCCCGAACCTGCTTTCTTATCCTTTAAATTTTGATTTTAAAACATGGCTTCCGGTCCATTAAGTTGCCTGATCTTTTGAGAAAGGGGCCCCAGGGAACAAATCACTCTGATACACTGACAGAATCTACTCTTGAAATCCACTGCCAACTTCCAGAGAACCAGACTTATAAGCTCTCTGGTCTTAAAGACAGCAGGACCCGAATGGATGAACTTACTAACAAAGTATGATATCTAAATTCAATCTGGATTATTCTAGTCCACTTCCCTGGCTTAAAATGTAATGCAATGCCCCTTACAATGTTGCTCGCAAAAACGGAAAAAAAGCCATCCAGGAAACGAATTATTTAACACAGAGACAAAATCTAAGAAAGGCAAAGAAGACTTGGTCATCTATGGAATTTTTGCTGATTTCATACAATTCTAATTTTTGAAAATAATTGTCATGAAGTAGAAGCTGTAACCTCTAAAGGTTACTAGTACAGCGGAGAAGACAATTCAAACACACAATAGAAATCACAGTTTAATTAAATGAGGTACATAATCAAAATTACATAATGAAAATGAAAAGATCAGCATGAAATCACAGATGAAAAGGGTGAAGTATAGATTGAAAATAGCGTAGTTATGATTGATGGTTGTAGCTGAATTTGTGTTGCTGAATTTATGTGGTTCAAATTTGGTCTAGCTCCTAATGATTGTAGGTAACTCGCTAATAGCAGACGAAATTGGTAGTACCGACAGCACCTTACAGCAATGAAGTATGAAATACAATATCTGGTGCACGCGCTTGAACGAAACTGACTGAAATAAGAAACTCATTAAGTAATAATCATTAATCAATGCAGAAATAATAGACCAGAACAAACATAACAGAAAAGTACACGAGCTATGCGTTTTAAAACTAACAGAAGCAGATCTCAGAATACCACTTACCAACAGCTGTAAAGATCCCTTCTCTGGCTTGCAGCTCGGACAGAAGTATGGATACTCCTTGGCAGTATACTTTTGATATTCTTCCTTATCAATGTTGTCACAGCTTGCATGGATCCACTTCTCACAAGAGAAACACTGCACCATGGCAACATCAGTGAACTGTCTGTAAGCTCTCCCACACAAAGGACAAAAGAGGCCTTTGTTACGTTGTTGATAGCAACTATCACACACTGAGAAATTATGATGCCAACGAGAAGTAGGACCACCTCCCGGAGTATTTGAACCGCAGTCTTCACAACGACGGCAAGCCTATTAAAGAAAGAAAAAATGAATTGAGTTGCAAATTTCTGAGATAACACTGTATCTAAACCAGAGGGGTTTCCTTAAGAGGACTTCCAGTGACAAGTCCCCTTGTTCAAACATTAACCTCTTTTTCTTGTCAATCACTAGACTTGTGAAGGGAAAAATTATCAAGGATGAATTTTGCTATAGTGTAGATGAAATGACAAGGACACTTGTGACCAAAACATGAGGCTAAGGGGCTGGGTGTGCTGAAAAAATGTTTACTTATTTTGCTAAAAAAAACTGTCATCAGTTCAGTGAGACAAGTATGCCCCATGATTTTTCATCCTACCAAATTTTGTCAAGCCTTGGCAATCTTTAAAGGTGCCATTGTCCTGCCTTGGAGCAGCCCTCCTCTGTCACCACCTTAACAGGATCCTTTTCTATTACTCACTGTTTTAATAAGGCCTTAAGCAAACTTCTACCCATGCAGATGTCCCTTCTGACATGCTTTCTTTGCAAAGCCTATCACAAACAATTTTCCATTGACCAGAACAATTTACCAGGAAACCTGTTATTCAACACATAGCTCGATTCTTGCATGTAGTTCATTACAAGGGCTGCAAAGAACATCCTAGTTACTCACCACACACTTCCAGCCAGTCTTGGGTATGGTGCTCATAGGAGGGTCCAAACAATATGTATGATATCCAGTGTCACACAAGTCACAAACTAACATTCTATTGTCATCACCAGGTTGCCTGCAAATAGCAGAACTGATATAAATAAACAGTGTAAAAAATTCAAGGCATAAGACAACAGATATAATGAACGATAGGGAGAAATATATTATGTAGTTTCTTATATGGTGTCCCAGTAATGAGGACATGGCAGCAAGTACTGAGGGAGAGTCGCATCTACTTTCTCCTTGTACTAATCTCAAGTGAATCAAACATCACGGTTAAGAGAATGTAGGAAATAGTGGCCAGCTAAAGAAGTTCTTGAAAATTACACAAATTCACCTTGTCGATACCAAAATAAATATATCAAAAAGAGTTTTGAGAACGTGCTGACTGATTTTAGGGTGCGATGGGTTAACAACAACAACAATGACAACAACAATGACAACAACAATTTAATTAAGATTAGAAATATAGCTAAGTACATTGGTTTCTCCTTGCAAATAACTTGTGCACTAATCGAGGCGGGGAGATCTAAGGACAGTTTACAAGTACAGGATTTATCTATAGATGGACTAACAATCAAAACACCACTATGCAGTAAATAGAATAAGCATAAAACAGAGCAAGTATATTATGATTACGAAAAGAGGCTAACCTAATGTATTAAATAACTCAATAAGAAGGGAGATTTCAGTTAAGATGACAATTATCCTTAAGAAAAATAGGGGCAGGAGAAATAGGGAAAGGAAAGAATATTCTCCACATCTGACAAAAAAAAATTGCTCCAATGTAGAGAAACCAGTTACACAACCTGCTTGAGGTGCAAAGCATGAGAGATTTACCACACAGACATAGAAAAAGGGACTGATCACTGAATTCCAATTTGTAAAGAGCTTTGATTGTTATGAACTGGACACACATTCAAAGAAGTACATGACAAGAATTAGAAAAATATCAACAATGGAATGTTGTTTGATTTCACAAAAAAAATTCCCAGAATTCAAGTTTGAGTCGAAACATGAATAGCAGACAGTGGGGAGAGTTGACGTTTAAATCTTGGAAGGAAGTTTGTTATAGAAGTTTTACACATAACAAGAAGTAACATTCACTGTTGAACAAGAAAAGAAAATCTGCCCACCTGCAACCTTGACAGACTTTACAATCTGGACACTGCCAGCCCATTCTTATTAGAGGAGTCAAATCAACAGAAGGATCCAAGCACCGGCCATGATAATGACGGCCACAGCTTGTGCAGAATATCTGTTCTGAAAAATCCTTTGCATCCCCACAGAGGACGCATTCAGCTTCGCCACCGGCTGCAAAACAAAACAAAACAAATCAAATCAAAACAAAGACAAATGTTTCAGAATTTCATCATGACTACTAAATAATCCTGATTCATTACAAACCATTAAGATTTACCTGGCTCCCAGAGGATGGCTTTGCAACTCAGATAGTAGTAACACCCAACCAGTAACCAAGGGACACTGATCTAAACCACTTTGAAACCTAATTTTTTTCCAGGCTTCTCTTTCTAAGATTCCTTTGATTGTAGTTAGCCTGTGAGAACCATTTTGCCATTTAACTCTGATCACCTTTCTCCCAATTTTTTTTTTTGTCTAAATTCATCACGATCATCATCACGATCTATGTTAATAGGCCTGATTCTTCTTGCACTCTAAATGCCGTGACAAATAATCATAACGATTAAATAACTTCATGAACCTACCATTCATATCAACTTTATTGGCCAAAAATATCATAATGATTCGAGATGTTTTTTGATCAACTTTTAGGCTACTTAGCTATAGTTTCATGGGTGAGCAGGTAAATAGCATTGTAATCATATTAAATATACAAGTGAGCTACATTTACTTCAGTTGTGTAATACTGTTGTTATCAAGAACACCAAAAAAGGGTCCACATCCACACTCGGTTTTTTTTTAACTACTTACCAAGACGACCTGCATCTCCCAAATGCTCTGGGCATAACATGGTCATAGATTTAATGTCCTGTTTTAGAAAGAAAGTTTACCAATTAGAAATGCGAGAACACAGAGGGGAGTCAGGGCAGCTTTCTGTTTACATGAAAGTGACCAACTTCTTGAAAAGGATAACAGTTAAGCCTTGAACATAATCAACAGGGGAATTCTTCTATGACTAAGTCTGTTTGTTCCAAATAAAGAGGGAAAGAATGACAATCAACAGTACAGCTTGATTTGTGCTTTGATCTTATCCTAAGTGTAATTCTGAGAGGAAAATTTGTTGGAAGGCGTGATGCCAGACAGGTGCCTAAGTTCGTTGCCTTTCCAAAACAATTCAGAAGCTTTTAATTCTCATAATACAGTTAATCACTTAATGATAATGAGCAGGGCTCGACACTAACGGTAGCCAACTAGCCACAGACTGGTAGAAATTCAGTTTTGGCTCACGTTTTTCGATTTCCACTAGCCAGTTTGGCTAGTAAACAAACTGAAACTGTTGTAACATCTAAGATGTCACTAGCCAATAGGCTGGTAAGTTGAAATGTTAGTGTCGAGTCCTGAATGAGTAAAAGAGAAGATTGAATTTCTGAGGAAAATGTCAGCAGACATGTACTTCATCTGGACAAACCTGAAAAGAACCACTACTTGCTGCACAAGGATAGTGATAGGTCTTGCCACAGCGTGGCATTTGACAAACGACACTTGCACCAAACCGATTGCAATGATCACATCGCTGAAAAGGGAAAATGATCACAGAACTGAATTAAAAACATAGTTCAGTGGTAAAAAATTAAACAGAAGATGTGTTTTCACGGAAATACCCCATTTATCCCAGATACAAATTAAATACTTATTCAAATCAAAAACCTCTTAACAAAGAAGAGAAACAAAAAAGATTGGCCCAATGATTGTCAAAAGCTGCTGCCTACATTGAAATTTGTTTTTATGACCAGCTCTAGATAATTTTAGAAGATTTGTTCTCAAAGAAATTTAAAATTTTCAACAACATACCTCAGACATAGCTTTTACAACTGCCTTGTCAACATTGATTAAATCATAGGAATCTGTCTGGCTGACCCCTTCAGACCATGCAGCACAGCAGTGATGGGCCCAGGTGTAACCATCTTCTTCAAACACATCACTCAACTCTTTCTCCTTCACAGTCCCATATGTAGTCTTGTCAATTGTCAAGTCATTGGTACCAGTTCTTAATGGCAACCCTACAACCACAATTCCCTTCCGTCGTCCACGTCCAGGTGGTCTGCCAGGCCCACGGCGAGTTACTACAGGTGGAGGTTCTGGTTGATCTTCGGCAAATTGTCCTGTGTCACAAGCATCTAAGTATGACCGGTCTCTGAAAGGATCACAGCCACTGTTCTGTCTGTGTCTGTTTTGGAGCTTTTTGACAGGGTTGAATCCTGGAGTGGGTGCATATCTCTGGAGTTTGCCATGAAACATGCGTTTCTCCACACCACAATTGCAGAATGAACATGTTTTGTTTTTAGCCCTGTACAAATGAAAATGTTGAAAAATAGAGTTGGAGAGATAAGACTGTCAGTGTTACAAATAGAAGCTGGAGTGGACAATTGTGAGTCAGATATTAGGAGTAAAACGATCAAAGAACCTTCCAACCATTTTGACCCTAAATTCATTCCAACTATGTCTAAAAGCTGTGTAGCCTAAGTTAAAATAAAATTTCAGTCAAAATGATCTCAAACTAAAATGAGTGGCAAAAGCACTTAACATGCCTCCCCTAGTAGGTGGTTGACAGCTGTCCACTCAAGAATCTTCTAATTCATCTCTAATAACTTACTTGAAAGTCCCCCTTTTAGCCCAAAACAACACTGCTAGAAATTATCGATCATTTTGTTGACAGCTGGCAACATTAAAATGGGAATGAAGGGGGATATAAATGCCAGCTACCAAACAAAAGGAAAAATTTGAAAGTGGTGGAGTGTGCCAAGAGTTTTGTCACTCATAATATTGATCTTAATCTTTCTCTTTTTAAAGTTAGATTTCTGGTTTTAAGATGATGGTGATGATTTCCCTACATAAAAAAAATATAGAAAATATATAAATTGATTTAGACTTAAATCGTTTTTATCCTATGACACCCACATGGTCATAACATCACTGACCAAGTACTGCAAGCTTAACTTTAGTTGCTTACAGTGCAAATTGTTGCCTTGGAAAAGTTTACACCACAAGAGAAAAGAGGCTTCCCTGAAAAACTTGCACCTCCACACAAATCAAGTTTGTATAAGGCATCCAAGTCTTTCAAAACATAAATGTTTAAGCAACGAGCTGGACAAACAAACATCATCAGGCTCACTCCACCCAAGCATTTTCATTAAAAGAATATGAACACCCATGAGGAAATTCAAAAACCTCAGCTTTGCTGTTAAAGAATCAGGTGTGTAAATAATAATGCACTGACTAAAATCCTGACAGGAACTTCAAATTAGAGTAGGAAAATATCCTGTCGGATAATAGAGCACCTTTTATTGACTGTACATGCAGCTATTTTTACAGTGTACATAAACACTTCCTATGTACTGCTAGCTACTTTCTGCAGGAGTTTCATTAATGTTTTCAGCAACTGGTTTTCACAGGTAGGCGAAATGTTTTGAGATGCACTTCTTTATAAGATAAACTTTCCTCCAGATTGTCAAACTTGGTGGGCAAAATCCTCCTCACAACTGGTCAATTTGCCTGGTGCCCAGGCCCTTTCTGAAACCCGTTTCTGTTCAAAGTTTCTTTCAAAGCAAGCCAGGTATTCTAGTGAAATGTAAATTGTAAATACAAGAAAAATATAAAGGAGATGGAGTGTAAAATATTGATTATTCCACCCCTTGTTTTACAACAGCAAATGAACAAATTAGTAATAAAAAGATATTTTTGTGTTTTGCTTTTTTTTCCTCTTTCATTACTCGCTAAATGTAAGTGCTACTTAAAAGGGTAACAAAACCAGTTAAAAAGGAAAGTCAGTGCTTACAGTTCTTCATCTGGGTCCACTGTTGGTCGTTTTACAACTCCAAAGTCATCCGGAGTCAAATTATCATACAATGACTGCCCATCCAGAGGCACAGAGTAAGGTGACATCTCCTGTAATGATCAGAAAAATAACAACACAACTCGTGTAAATTAATCCAGGATGTTCATCAAGAAATGCATTTGAAGGAGAAAGCAGGGGTTTCATTAATGTTTTCAGCAGGAGGGCAAATGGTTTTTCACAGGCGGGCAAAACTTTTTGAACTGAACTTCTTTATAAGAATGATAACCTTTCCTCCAGATTGTCAAACCAGGTGGGCAAAACCGTCTTCACAAACGGTCAATTTGCCCATGCCCAGCCCTCAATAAAACCCCAAAAAAAGTAGAGCAAGAAGAGAGAATATTCCACACTCAAACAATATGTAACAAAATGTAGCTGAAAAATTGTTCATAGTAGCCTGAGTATGAACATACTGTTCATCTAACCCTTAAACTTGCACAGTTAACAACAAAGTCCCCCCTACAATATTAATGCATTATTCCGCTGACAGGTGATCCAAATAAACAATTATCTTAGGGAGAGATTTATATCTTTACAGAAAAATATAACACCAAATTTCCTCAACAATTTACACTGTGCAATAAGATGGCTTGCAACTGAGAAGGAGAATTGGGGAACATATCAGATTTCAGGAATAAACAAGTTTTAATTAACATCCTTGGTGTTTACATATTCAGCATTGATAAGTGTATTGCACTTTACAAGATATCTCACCATCATATTCTCATGGTCCAAGCCTGGGTTACTTTCAGTACAGGAACCAATTGGTGAAGCTCTGATAGGAGATTTCAACTTGCTGAAAATAGAACAGTTCACAGAAAAAGAAAAGTTCATTAAGTGAAAACAAAACACAAAGATCAAGTGATAAATTTATCACATTAAAACTATAATGCTGAGGGCCGACTGAGTCCAATGAGCAACATAAACCAATATTATCAAACTCTAGGTAATCAACCACCTACATAACAATTAATCATGGTTCAATTTCACCAATTAACTAAAAATCTCTTTAAACCAATTAAACAGTCATTCAAGCATGACATTAGCAGACATCTGCGTCAAGTCAGTTAATTTCACCCACAACATTTGATCCCTTAAAATTCAATGGGAATCCCCTTTTTTCTTAACTCTTCCCTTAAGTTGTCAAACCATGGTGTTCAACCAGTTAAATCATTTACTAAAGAAGCTGCAAAATTAATTAACAGCCATAATCTTTAACAAAAATATCACAGTTAATCCAATTAAATAAATGATTCTATATTTGGAAATGAAAATAATGTCTAAATCCAATTTAATTTTCCCTCTAATAAATGCCACATCATCAAATATAAATTCCACAAAAAAAACTTTAATCAATAGCTATAGAGACTAAATACAGGACCCTTTATCATTTCCCCAAAGGTCATTTCACACACATTAAAAGGTTACTTCCAAACCTTTTAACCTAAATACCAGCAAAATAGTATTAACAACAATTTTTTGCGTGTTCCAAACAAGGTGTAAAATTGAAATCACAAACAGGTAGCTGAAAGAATTCTGTAGGAGTAAAACAGTGTACCCCAGAAAAACATTCCTCTAGCTTTTTATCTCTGTATTCTTGCTGTTTGTTTTTTTTTCTTCTATTTCATCGTGTGTTGTTTGGTTGAAAGATGATGTGACCAATAACCCCCAAAAAATCAGACAAAGATTTTTGGCCATATTGCATACTCTATGCCATATCAAACCAAACAATATTTTAATTCTAGCTATGAGCTTGACACAGTAATATTGGATCCAAATATTTTTTTTCAGGAAACTGCCGTGCAGTTTATCAAAACGAGAACTGTGTAACCAAAATAGGCAGTTCTAAATTTCACAAATAATGTTTAATGGGTAAATGTACTGAGACTAATAAAAACCAATCAATTTACAAATTAACAACTAGAAATCCAACTTCAAAAAGAATCACAAACCTCTGTGCATTGACCCTCGTCTTCTTTGCAGGCTGTGGTTTTGGTCTGTTCCGCACCCTTGTTGATCTACTTTCTTCTCTCATACTCAAGATGTAACCTTCTTCTGAGTCTGGTGTCAATGGTGAACTTGGATATGGACTCAAGGAATGCTGCAGGACAGCAAAGAACACAATACAATAAATATCATATGCAACCTTAGTGTTATATATATATATATAATATATATACAAGTACGAGCTGACACTCGTCAAGCTTTGCTCTTCACTTCATAGCAGGGTTCCGCCAGCTATTTAGGTTGACAACTCAAGGTTTGGCCATCAATGTCAAAGTATTGATACATAGCACTGTCTGAATTTTTCCACATTGCCATATTCACTGAACAGCTCATACATCTTTGTAAGAAAAAGGCAAAGTTATCAGTTGGAACATATCATCTCACTATAACAGATATACCATCCTGACTATTTTACAAAAACAACAAATAGCTTCTATAAGGGAGAATTTCAAGAGACTAACAAATCTTACAACACGACAGGAAGCCGAAATGATAACTTCACCAACCCAATGCAAAAAGTTGCCTTGAATGACATGATCTTTACTGACTAAATTTGTCAGTAAACTCTAACAAAAGCATATTCCTTCTATTTAAGTTTCAATTTTTTTCTTTTGTTTTCTCTTGTGTGGTGAAATTAGAACTGATAAGCAGAGGACAAGAAATGAATTAAAATTGCTCAAATATACACTTTTGTTAGTGCATTATGTGACACCAAATTTTTAGTAACATTGTTCATGACTAAGGCATGAGCTGATTATAAAATCTAATTCATTCATTAATTTAACAACATATCTTGCAATGGTAAAAATAAATAGAAGACAGTAAAGAGAAATATTGAATTTTTCACATACCAAAACTTCTATATTGTACACAAAAGTTATGGTTCACATAATAACACACAGCTTTTGTTCTGTTGTGTACTCCCATATTATCTCCTTTGTTTCCCAATTCTGGAAACACTGTAGTCAAAAGCAAAATTCTTACTACACAACCACATACTGCACAAGTAGAAATTAAAAGCACTGTTGGAAATGCAGTGAAGAACCTTCCAAGGAATGCAGTGAGACCATTACACTTAGTTCAAGTCTATCAAAATTTAAACTATGAAAAATAATTCCAACATCACACTAGTAAACTATCTTTTTAGCTATTTAGGTTAAAGAAACAACAAATACCTGACTAATTCTACCAAAAATATTTGCAGTCATGGTTACAACAACATTAAACCTGTTCAATATACACTTGTGATCTGGGACACTAAACAACAGGAGACTAGACTTTTGGTTGAATTTAATATGTCCATATGTTATTATTTGCTTGAAAATAAGACAGTAAATCAAGAATTCCTGAGATATGTGGCCTACAGAAATACTTTTGGGTCTGGCAAAGACTTTCTGTAAACAATTTATGTGCCACCTCACTACATCTCAAATGACCCACAAACGTTAAACAGCATCATTAATAGGCAAGCTTCAAGCGTCACGTCCATGTATTAACTACTCCAATAACATATTCTGTTTGCATTGTAATTTAAATACCAAGAAAACACAAAATACTAACAAAGTTGGCCATTTTGTTGATGAGAATCTAAATGATGCTAATCATGAAGCAAATACCCTTTAACACTAACGGATGACAGTCAAAACACACATAACACACCTTGCACCCCAATCTATTCTGAAAATGCATCTGAACCTTTTAAGAGTAATTTGAGTACAAAAGTAAAACATCAACCATCACAAATTGGAAATGTTATGATCACATTCACTGCACTGCAATCAAAAGAAACACTTCACAGAAAGTGAAAGTCTAATGGAATTTACTTGCCTCTGCTACAAAATGACATTTTCTACAAACAAGACTTACAAAACCTTCCTACATGTATGTAGGAAGAGAAATGACTAGTAAGTCATCAAAAGTTTCAGGTGGACACAAGTAAACGGTTTTAAATACTTCCTGCTAAATATTTCCTATTTCCCTTCACCTTAAACTACAAACAGACTAAATACAAAGTCGCCAAGATAGATCTACTTGCAAGCTGACCAATAAAAAAGTAGAAATAATAATAAACACTTTCCAATCTTGAGTAAAAGATTCTGACAACTTTAGATAGATAGATAGATACTTTATTATAAACACCTTGCCGCCATGGGCTGAATTACGGAATATTTACAAGTACAGATGATAAAAAGGACGTGTAAAATATTACAACTTCGTCGTTAAGAAAGAAGGAAAATTATCTACATCTTGTAAATATGGCTAAAAATAAAACTATTCTTCTTTAATTTAAAGAGTTGAAGAGATGTTGTCAAAATTGCAGGCATTGAAAGTGAACGCTAGATAATGGTAAAGAAAATATTACCATAGTTCTAGTGATCTCCACAGACTAATTCATGGAATGGTAGTCTAATATTTTAGGTTAGGAGGGTACAAGTTACAATTTTTTTGGTTACAGTTTGATGTAATATTCTACCTCATAAAGTGAGAGCTTGAAAAAATTACTTTATCAGAACCTTGAATATTGTTATATGACAGAGATAAATTCTGCAAAAAGAACTGAGGGTAGAACACCAGTCAAATGAAAATCCTAACATGACAGATGCCACCACTTAGCAGTTGTTTTTCAGTTAGAAAGCAAGGCTCTAATAATGTATACGCTGAAGGTCACAGTAAATAGTGAAACTCAATTTACTACACCCTTTTATCCTAGTTCACGAAAGTATGTCCACTAATTTTCTTCCTTTTAAAAACCAACAGAGAATTGTTGTTGTTATTAAACAGGAAGCCAAGCTCCAAGTTTGAATCCAAACAATAGACCCATTTAGGAGAAAAACAAGTTTTGATAAGATCTTGCGAGTGTTGGAATAAGAAAGCACAGATTTAACCCTCTAAACTTCTTTTAAAGACTAAAAGAGTTTAGCTACTCACCACAGTCTCTGTGATTCTTGGTCTACCTGGACCTCGTTTTGTTCTTCCTACAATGAGGGGGAAGAAAATCGAATCCGATTAGAAGTGAGGCAAAAAAACCAAGGAATACACACATAGGGAATGTTGCTTGCAACAAGCGTTTTGATCGTTACACCGCTAACGATACTGTGCTGTACGAGGCGTAGTCTGATCACAGACGTATCAGGCAAATAGATTGAGCGTTCTGGAAGGAAATAAATTTTCTTAGCGCAGAGCGTCCATGACTTTGGTCGCTCAGCTGATAGCTTGCATCAGTGATCGGTAGTTACTACGAACAAACTTAATTCAAGTGAAGCCATGGCGATTTAAACTTGCAGTAGAAACAGTCGTTGGCCTGACCGAGCGAAACGCGAACCTCGCATTATCACAACAAGTGAAATTGGCATCAAATCGCAACTTTGTCGATTTCAACCATGTACTATTCTACGGGAGAACTCCAGAAGAACAACAAATGAACATTCATAAATAATACAAAATCGCAAAGAACGCAGATGTTTCGCCCGGTAAAAGGATGAAGAACAATTTAACAGAAGCGTTTCTTTGTGCGCTGAAAAGACGCGAGGTAGTCAGTGGCTAAAACGGACCCAGATCTTTAAGCAAAGTAGAAGTGGTGGATTTGAAACCATTTATCTTTCCGATTTTTCACCGTTCGTACCTCCGCCATCTTATGTCATTGGCAGTAATTATTCATGTCGCAAGAACAGTGGTTCGTGCCTTTGTTCGCATTTTCGAGATTCACTAGTTCTCGTGTATTCAATCTACCAAAGCTCTTTACTTAAAGTACTTTGCGCTGATGTTTTTTCTTCCGTACACATTGCAAGCGCTTTATTTCCAAACCGTGTGTTACGCCCATCGAATAAAAAATCCACTATTATTGGCAACATAACCCATGAATGGCCGCGGTTGTGTTGAAAGGAAGGATAGCGAAGCGACAGTAGGTTGACGAATTTTAAGGTAATCCCAGTAAGTTTTATCTCTCCTCGCTCGACAGAATTAGCCCAAATTGCTTTTTGTGCCTCGTGTTTTCAAAATTTCCAAGATTTTAAAAATGATTTTAAACTTTTCAATTGGAACGCGCCACAATCTTTGGACTTCATCACAAAATGGCGTCCTCGAGACTGATCGATACATACATAAACCATGCAAGGAAAATTTTAGGCAGCGTCGTGGCTCGGGTAATACCCAATGGATTGATCCACAATGAAAGCTATATGGAAACCCGAAGAAACCAGTATTGACACATGAACGTAAGCTAGCGAACAACTGCTGAAGTTTACGCGGATTTACAGTACAGCACGTCATCGCATGCAAGTCTCAAACAAAACAATTTTCAACTCACCTGACATGGCTTTTTGATTCTGGTCCTGCACACGGTGTTGTGATTTCAAGAGTTCTCTCTCGTTATTTCAATCCAAAGCAATCCACCACACTCTCCAGAACAGATATGCTCCGCCTTTGCAACTCGGTAGCGCGTCAGGTCGAACGCAGTCAAGAAGCTAGAAACGCAAACGGACAATTGAATTCATAGCACTTTTGCAATTCCTAACAACGATCACGACGCCGCGAACGATTTTCCCTTAAAGTATATAGATTCCTCTCAAAGGCAAAACAATTTAGTTTCTTCATGCAAGCGTCGAAAAGTCTCCAAGATGGGGAATTTCAGTGGCCTCTGAGCCTCGTAGCATGCCGCCATGCATGCTTGATATGTAATAGCCTTGCGCGAACAACACGACCCCCCATAAACTAGCCACGCCAATCAAATCACCCCGCTTCTCCTCCATTGGCGAACGCTGATTGGCTAGTGGTAAGTGACGCGGCGGCAAAGTGGAAGAATTTTCGTCAGCTGATTGAATTTTTATCGCGCCACGAAGTTTGCCAGGCGTTCCAAATAGCGCCTGTTTGTCACGAAACCGAACGATCTTGAAACAAGAGGGTGTTTTAAATAAGGGAAGTTATTAATAATTTAAACTGCTAATGAACAACCTTTGTGTTAAACGAAAATATGAAAAATGACGAACTGAAAGAGCGAAAATTTAATCCACGGGTATTTACAAACATCAAACGGCTTTTTATGCGTTGCAAGGTTTACCTAGAAATCCAATGGATTATGACTCTTATCATTTATCTTAATTTTGTATCCATGTATAACACAGTTGGGTCGTTTTTTAGTCGGATAACAATTCTTTATTGCGCAATTAGACTGCAGAGCAAAATTTTGAGTAATACTGTGGTTAAGAGCCAATAAATACAATAGACCTTCAAGAGATTAATGTTAAGAAGAACTTCGAAAACAACTCAGTAAAATCGCGTTCGGGTTACAATATTGAAAACAAAAATTTCCAAATGTCAAAAAATCATCAATAAGAATAAAAATCGATTCTTAAATTGAAGGGGAAATAATGATGGTAATCAGCTTCTTGATATGAGCTAAAAACGTTTGCTTAATTCAACAAAAACCTTCCGGTGACAAGGATCTGCTCCCTGCGCGTGTTGTTATCTTTAAATGGGATCTATTACGAGACCGCCATGATATATTTCGTGACTTCCGTGAACCGTGACCAAAAACGTGCTTTGACTCTTTCCGTTAAAGTGAGTAACGCGCATTAAGACCGTCTCACATAGCAGCGGAAGGAAGCAATAGCTAAATGATCGGACATTGATATAAACAAGGAAGAAAATATCAGTTGACATTTAAGTCAATTTCCACAGAAGCATGGCGATAATGCAATATTTTCACTTTCCGTCAGGAAACGTTTCATGTTATCAAACTTTAAAAACGATTTATGTAAACCTGTATGATCTTTTTTTAGAATTGTACATCCTTCATTATTGTTCTTGACGCAACCATTAAAATGCGTGTCTAAAGAACTAATTACCTAAGTCACAATGGTAAAAAGTGCTGTTAAAATATTAAAGCACTTATTAATAATTGTGCCATGATTATTTCCTTTATTTTTCGTTTGAAGATTTTTTTAAGGTCTAGGGACTTACGTTAAGTTTGGATTTGCAGAATGGAGAAAGTGGGAAATTAAGGTGAAGAAAGCCTCCGTTTTAATGCATTGACTCTTAATATGGTGCACAGGGCAGCAAGAAAATATTACGTCAAACCTATAGATTGTTCCCATATTTATATAAAGCTGCCTCGAAATACTAATAAACAAATATTACAGCTGATGATCCGTTGAAAAGCCTTGAGGAAGGGAAGGGGTAGCGAATATTGCTTAGTTGGACTGGAATAATTTATTGCCAAAGGAGGAACAAACTCAAGGATTTCAAAACTCCCTTTTCAAAACTCCCTTAGCGGACTACGCCCCACAAAATACAACGATTATTTACGTACTGGAGGGCAGCATCTGAGCCTGATGCAAAATAATTTTCAAGCGTTATGAAAAGTGGTCGTACGGTTTCTCTAGTAACCCGCCATGGTTTGATGAGCGATTACTTGAAATATCGACTTACCAACTAACAAATGACCGATTGGATGACACGATTGACGGACTGACCGACCGACTGAAAAAGTGACTGCTTAACTGGCCTACCATTTAATAGAGTAATTGACTGACTGAGTGAATGAATGAATAAATAAATGAATGAATGACCTACTTGTTGTCTTGTGATTGAATGACCCGGCAGAACGGCCCACTGACTGACAGACCAGCCGACTAAACAATCGATCGGAAAATTGACTTATTTCATTTAGACAAAAAGACTCCTTGACAGAGAGCAGTGAAACTCATTCACAAGACGTAGCAGTCTCATAAAAACTAACAAATCAGGGAATCCGCGGTTTATTTTTGACCGAACATAATTTCAGTGGGTTACGGTGATGATTTCAAAGCAAGATAAAGCTGGGTCGTTTTTCAGTGCTACATGAGAAGAAATAAATTTTCAGAAACAACTGCCGCTCCCGTAATCTCGAGAGAAAAAAAAAAAATTCGCGTCAAATCGCAAAATTGCAATCCGGGGAATACCCCTCAGGAAATACGTCATTTTAAACAACCGATAATATAACCATTAACTTCATACGTACGACAACCCCAATTATCTATCTGTAGACCTAAGCGTGGGTTATACAATAATTGGCGTATAACACGTTTTCCTCATTGTAATTCATGCAGAATTGCTGGTTTTCTCGTGACAAAGATACAACTATTTTTATTAACAGCTCGCAGTCCAGGAACAGATTAGACCATCGTGGTAAAATCGATATTGTAATCTGCTTTAAGTAATATTCATTTTTCTTAAAATGACCCTTTCAATATTCTCTGTACCATTCCTCTCACGCCTGCCCTGCTCATTTCCCAGTTCTGCCGCTCGTAATTCCCACAAAAATCTACAAACTTAGCCCAGGAATACTAACTACTATACTTCTTTTAGTCTCCTCTTTCTCTTACGATCCTACGCAACAAACGTGGAGAAAAAGCAAACGCGTAATTGATTTCTGTATCGAAAGGGGCTGGGTCGAGACCGCACTTTAACACACTCTTGTCTCGTGCCAATCTTCTCTCTACTTACAATCTTGCCACAGTTTGAAGGAAAAATAACAAGCAAATTTCCGGCGGTCTAACCAGCTATTTAAACTTACTAAAACGCAGACGAGACTCGAAATTTAACACCGTTAACTGGAATTTAACCTATAACGAACCATATCAATTTATTTTTTCCGTTCACCCCATCAGCTTCGAGCAAAGTAGGAAAATAGATTTCGTCAAAGACCACCCAGATGTAAGTCTCACTCTAAGCTGATACTGACGTAGTTAAGAGGCCGACCATTTAACTTTTGAGGTGGGGTGGGTGATTTTGAAAAAAAAATTCCTGCGAGCGCTTGTTGGAAGAAAAAAATTGCATGCAGCCCAAATGTAACAGAAAAAAAGAGCATTTAGAACGAAAAAAATATCCTGCCCAGCAGATTGCTAGAAAAGAAAAATTCTTGATGACCAGAAATCACCCACCCCCCCCCCTCAAAAAGTAAATGGTCGGCCCCTAAGGTCATTATAGGTATGAGTGATAACAGAAGGAAACACTGGAAATGGCAGGGGACTTTAATCTTTATTGTCTACCAAGTGTATTAGAGATTCTTTGTTGTCGCTTTCCTTCGAGTACCGAGAGCGCATGAAATTATCATCAAAAGTTTATCCCGACTGAGGGTCTAAAGTCTCTTGAACACCCCTCCCCCTATACCCGCCTGTCACCAAAGGAATCTACGCCATCAGGTGACATATAATCTTCCTTTTCAGTTAAACTGCGAACCATGAATTTCTTTTTTACCGTTCACCCAACGAGCTATAAGCAAAATTGGAGAAAAATGCTATCGTGAACACTACCAGGGTGGCTGTCGCTTCCTAAGTTAATATTGACAATGGGGTTGAATGATAACACAGAGAAACCCTGAGAGTGATGGGTGGGGTGGGGTGGGTAGGGGGTAGGGAGGAGGGAGTCTGAACGAACAACCCTTGTCTCAAAGAAATCTCTGACGTCGTCGGATGCAACAGAAAACAGACTATTTTATGCTTTATGGTGGCATCATCTTAGAAAGTTCATCCATGCCCAGGGATATGATTCGTCTGACACCCATCCCCCCTCCCGACCCCCCCCCGTTACAAATTCTGGACAATACAATAAGTAAAACCTTTAATTTCATCAAGACAACACATAAATGTTACTCAGGCCTGAATGCTACCTATACACACTCACGAACTGATGGCCACACCTGATTTTCACAAATTACAGTTGATAGCGATCCAGTATCGAAGCGACAACCGACATTACGTGATAAGAAGTCAATGGAAGTTTTTCGGTCCCCCAAATTGTTAATAAACATTTCAGAATAGAGAGAGAAACAATGTGGAAACAGTGTGTGATTTCTATAGAAATCAAACATTCCACTGTGCTAATCATCTGAAATTGAATGTATACCACATCCCGTTTTGAAGAGATTTAACATTAGAACCCCAGAGAGTGACTGGCTTCTAATTTCCCCCTATAGCTAACCTCGTTCCCAGGGCCTTTTCCCTTAGTTGGGGGTGGGGCAGGGGTGTGGCAAGGCCCTGGGAACGAGGTTGCCCTACAGCTACAGCATCTTCCTTGAATCGACCGTGTAGATCACGACAATAAACAATAAAAAAAATGATCACTAATTTAAGAGGCTCGCGATTGTCAAACGGAACAAATTCTCCATGTCAGTACCGAAGGAAATATATAGAGAAAAGTGTGGAGAATGTAAATCGTAAAAGGGTTTATCTGCCTTAATCTGTTTACACAACAGTTGGTGAGTGTCATATTTACGACACGCATGACCGCTCTAATTGCGACAAAACCGTGCGTCAATGAATCTGCCCGCCCCTTCCTGTACGTACTTAAAAGGGGATTCCCTTGGTCTCTATGTTGTCAGATTGGATAGTGGCAAGTTGAAGCTGAAACAATGTAAAAATTCCCCTCAAGCAAGAAAAGCGCCCCCATTTTCAGAGTATATGTGACGCCCCTTCAAACCTTCGAATGTATCTCCTCGGGTTGCAAAATCTTGTGGGCTAATTCTACTTTTTTTTTTTTTTTTTTTTTTTTTTTTTTTTTCATTGCTTTGTTTCAGATATTCTACATATATTCGTTTCCAATAGTAAAAGCTACCGTAAATCACTTGTGACATGGAAGGCTGAGCCGGATAATATTAGCTTCGTTACCGTTATT